CACACACACACACACACACACACACACACACACACACACACACACACACACACACACACACACACACACACACAATGTGTTGTCCTGACACCCGAACAGTCACCCCAACAGTCACCTGTGGAGGCATTCTATCGATGACAGGATGCGGTGCGTTGTCGCCTTAAGAGTCACCCGATGCATCACTCATGTACACACTCTTGCGGTTACTGAACACGCAATGTGTTGTGACCCGAGCAGTGACCTGGGGCTCGCACTCTTGCGGTTACTGAGCACGCGGTGTGTTGCCACCCGAGCAGTCCTTGTGAACAGTGGTGTATTGTCACCCAAATTTCAGCCAAACAGTTACCCGAACAATCACTCGAACAGCCACCCATGAACCCCCACACACGCGTTTCGTATGGAGAGTCTGTTACAACCGTGGAAGATGGTAACATTGTGGTTATCTATAAAAAAACTCCCGAAAAGCAGAAAGGAAAAAAAAATGAAAGAACACAAAGCAATAATATCAAAATCAATAAATACATTGACTACCCATACGAGCTGCAACACAAAATGGACTACCGGGATTCGTTGATATCCGGATCACTACATGGACTGTTTGTACGAAAACGTAAGCTGCGAATGGCGTCAACAAACACGAAATAGCCCTTCTCCACCTTGTCCCCCATCATGTTAGCTATCCTTTCACGCGACGCAATGTCTTGCTGCACAAGCTCGCGATGAACTTCAGCTTGCTGCTTAGTGATGTCACGTGTCGCTTCACAACGCATCTTCGCGATAGTGAGGTCTGATTGTGTCAGTGCTGTCGTGTGAGCACGCATAGCAACTGTCACAGCCTGTACACCCGATTCACGTGCATTGCTGGCAGTTCTTTTTCGTTTCCCGAGCGTCGGCTCAAAACCTGTCGACTGTGAGCCACCGGCCGAACCGGCAGACCCGGCGGCCGGATGTTCACCCCCACCATCCATCTCCCCATCAGCGTCATTCACCCCCTCTCCATCTTCAAGACGCTCCTCGTCCGCCCATGAATCCATCAAATTAGAGAGGTTAATAGAGTCCTTGTCCTTCTCCGCCGGGTCTATGACGTCATACCAACTTCGACGAAGCACAAAGTCGACGTTGTACTTCTTCCGCCTTGTCTGATTCATGTCCCAGTAGCTCGGCAAACCGGACCAGCTCTCGTGCGCCTTTAATGTTCTATAGTAATCAAGGATCTGGTTGAACTTGTTCTTGCACTGGTCGTCTACACGGTTGTAACCCTTCGCACACGTGCGCTCTTCCACATACTTCCAAAAACCAGCTTTCAGCCTCGCGCGCCCGTACACTTCCGCCTCTTCCCCCATCAACACCTTCACCTCATTTCTGTACCGGCACAACCACTCAATTCCGGTCTCCCCCCACCGATCCGTATTCTTCTCCCCCGGACACGGCTGTCGAGGGTGGCCCTCAGATGGCCCTCCCGTAGACGTTCTCGGGCCTTGTTCTCTGGTAGGCGGTGTGTGAGAACAGCCATCCCTGATGAGTGGGGACGGGGTGTCCGCAGGTACACCTCCGGAAGATCCACACCGGGGAGGTGTGTGATTCGACGCGGACTCCCTAGTGAATGGGGGCGGAGTGCCCGCAGCTGCACCGTCGGACGATCCACACCAGGGAGGTGTGTGCGAGGGGGTTATTTGCGAGGCAACAACATGACCCCCAACACGCCCACCATTCACATGCTCCATCGGGTGGACACCAGCCCCTATGTCCCGGATGATGCGATTGAGGACGTACTCAGATGATGCAGCATGCAGACTGAGCTTCTGCCTAAGAGCACCATCACACAACGGTTCCGTTGACATGCCACCACTCCCGTCCCCAACAAGCAACATTGCATTGGGAGCACCTTACTGCTGGGATGGCATCGTGTCAGTGTTCGGAGAACTAACAGTCGACGGACCGGGACTCGGATGCTGGCTTCCTACATTGCGAGCCGAAGACGTCTCATAGCTTCCCATGGCCCGTTCATCCATGGGCGGGGTCAGCCCGTCGACCATAGCCATTGCACGCTGCCGGCGACGACAAAGCAGGACCGCCTGTCACAACGTGGAAACGTGGTGCAAAGCTCACACACTCTGTGACCTTCGCGTATTCCGCATCACACGCGGGCCCCCCACTCCTTGCTGGTCCGGTACTTGCAGCAGACGGGGCGTCATTCTGGGATTCAGACCACCCCCTGTCATCAATACAAGACAGGTCTGCGTTCTGGGTGTATTGCGCCATGGGGAAGCAATGTGTCGTCTTCCCTGTTCAGTAAGTCGACGGTGCACAGTGACAATCTGCAGAGGCGGTGGACGGAGACAAATGGAGAGGAGGCGACAACCATATCCTGAGGTAGGGAACACAGCATGTGCGTTACGTCAAGGGCGATACCCGATATCCTGAGGCACGGAGGACTGCATGGATTTGGCGTGCACCCATGGCCGTATTCGCGACCTGCACGGAAGTTCTGTCCTCTGTGAAAGCGGCTCCACTCCTCTACCGTTTCCATGTTTCGACTTTCCTCATTGGGAAAGTCCCGCAAGTACTATGTACTTGGACCTGCACGAAGGGGGGTGCATGTATCCCATAAACGAGACTGAGGCCGAACCGCGCCTACGTACTTTGCCTTAAAGTTGGACAACATTCACCCACGCTTGCAACGAGACACCTTACTTTTATGGCGCCGTCTGCCACTGTCAGTGCACACGATAATTCATGATTCTCCACGGACCAACGCAAAGTGGCCAACTAAATGGCCAACAAATGATTATTAAAAAATTATATTGGCCGACGGGCAGCTGCATCCACGAAAACAAAGACAATCCACACTAACAGTCGATACGCAAAATGATCAACGACTCAGGGATGTCACGGACGGCCGCACCTGGTCGAAAACGAAGGAGCACAAACGTAAATCGATGCTAGTGGGTTGAGGCCCCAGGGGTGTGTTCTTGAAAAAAAAAAAAAAAAAAAAAAAGGGACGTTAAGCACAGGTGTGGACATGTCTTTCCAGCTCCGCCGCAGCCATCTGCAGAGAATAGAACTTTATGTCCGAATCAGCTCGGTGGTCCTGCCTCTCGCAGCTGCCACTTGCCACGCCAGAGTTCGTGGGAACGAGACGCTTTGAACTTACATCATAGGTCAAGGAAAACTTTACAGGGTGGTGAGTGGCAGCTGCGATTTCACTCGGCGCCTTTACAAGGGCGATAGCAAGAGTAATGTGCACACTTCGGAACCTTTAGGGCGAGGAGTTTTGACGGACAATCAGCACAAAGTATGTGCCCGGACGGTGTCAAAATAGTGGCATCCAGCAGCACTTAACCGCAGCTATAGCAAAAGTAGGGGGGCGGGATTGGTGCACACGATAACTCGGTGACTTTAGGAGCGCGCATGGAGCACAAAGACCCAGGCACCATTTGCATCCCGACGGAAGCAAATCCCACAAGACGTCTCCCTTCTCCTCCGATCTCGGAGCCCCAGGAATTAACTGTGAAGTGATAGATGAAAGACTCCAAGAATGTTCTCAGCTCCTTCGCAGAGCTGCAAGGGTTCCCCTGGTCTTCACTCACCGCTTCTAGGAGAAGCGGAGACGAACACGAGACTGTAAAGTCGCCAGACGGGCGTTGGATCATCAGTGATTATACACGGATTGGTGACCGTTACGACCACACTTTCGACCTCTATGGGAAGTCAATCAGCGAGGAGGAAAAGAGAACACAAGGAGAGGATGGGACAGGAGGGCGATCAATAGTTGGACGGAAGGGATTATAATAAGAGAACCATAATAGAATAAGTAACAGTTAGAAGAATTTGCATCGGAGCCATCATGCTCGTTTTCTTATCGCTATGCGAAGGAGAAGGAAAAGGAAGACGGAAAACAAAGCAAAAAGGAAGAGAAAGGATAGACCGAGGGATGAGCAGATAAACTGATAGTCAGACCGAGAGAAAATGAAAGACACAGAGAAGCTAGAAAACGTCGAGGTAGGGGTCAACGAATTGAGAGAGTAATCGAAGAAAGACGATGAATTCCATCACTCCCCTCCAGCGAGCATGTAATTAAGTTGCTTCAGGGTGTTTACGCTGAGAACAGGTGCGCTTGAGAGGATCTCGCTCCAAAATATACCCCTCAAGTTTTGTTCTTTTCTGTTCTCTCTGCCCTACAGGTTGAAATTCGTGTCTTCCTCTGAGATCCCATCAACTTCCTGGCGTCCTCATTGCTTTCTTGATTGCTTTTTCTGGAATCCCTTCATGATTTTCTTCTCGAGTTTCAAATCAAAGCCCGAGGGGTTTCTACCTGAACTCCCCTCCCAAGAAAAGGAAGAAGAGTTATCAATTCCCCTCCGAAAAACAAAGGAAAAAGTAATCGGAGGAAAAATGAGAGGTTTCCATCCGCCTGGAGAAAAGTTATCAATTCCCCTCAAAAAAACAAAGAATTAAAGTTATCCATTCCATGACAACGTGGAAAAATGAGAGCTTTCTTTCCACCTCTCTCTCTCTCTCTCTCTCTCTCTCTCTCTCTCTCTCTCTCTCTCTCTCTCTCTCTCNTCTCTCTCTCTCTCTCTCTCTCTCTCTCTCTCTCTCTCTCTCTCTCTCTCTCTCTCTCTCTCTCTCTCTCTCTCTCTCTCTCTCTCTCCACTGTCAGAGGATCCTCCACGTAGTTGAAGCTGGAGGCTGCAGGACTCGCTCCAGTTGTTGGACACACCTGACACTCGCGAGTTTTTTATGTTTCAGAAAGGGAGACAGCCTTGAGATATATCCTCTTTGAGCTGACCAGCCCCAACGAAATTCAGTGCAGACACACCAGTTTGGAAGCGTATCCTAGCAAATATATCAGTCCGCCGATGTACTGTGGCAGTCTGGCAGATATACCTGAAAGGTGCAGAAATACCATTTTAGCAAAGTTTCTACGCAGATTTTCCGGAGGTACCTTCATTTGTGTAAGAGGACCCGTCCGCCAGGCCTGAGGCAAGCACTCCAAGGCCTACGGGGACTCCATTGCAAACAAAGGTACCATCTGGTACATTTGTGGCAAACATGAAAACGGCTGGTCAATCTGCGTAGCGAACTTTTCAAGACGAAGAGTATTTCTGCTACAAAACAGGTATATTTCTTACAATCCACGGGCAGACCTGTACATTTGCTACGGTACTTCTCCAAAGGGGTGTGTCTGCAATTTTGCCCTTAATTTCTAGCCATCTGGTTCCATTGAAATTCGAACTTAGATTCCATGGCGGAATCTGACCTTTGGTTCCATAGGAATTCTGAAGTCTGGTCTGTATTTCAACTGTTCATGGGTGTCCCAACTGAGCTAGGCTCGTTGGTCTCGCTAATTTTTTACTCCCCTGTCTGGTGGAAAAAGCAATCGGCAAGCGTGTGAGGTGGCACCCTCCCCCCCCAAAAGATTGACGGGAATTGACTTATGGTGAGTGGTGCGGCGGCGGGAGCCCCAATCACAGGAAGCTACCGGCGTCCGCATCACGGCAGCACCTTCCTTGTCGTTTCCATTTTTTCTCCGGTTCTTTTTGTTTTTGGCTGGGTCTTCCTTTTTGGACGATTTATTATTTTCGACTTCCTTTCTGGAGGATTTTTTTTTTTTTTACTTCCTTTTTGGACGATCTGTTATTTTCTACTTCCTTTTTGGACGATTTATTATTTTTGAGTGTCATCCGTATTGGCGGGGTCTCCTCTTCGGACTCGCTGCACTACACTAGATTCCGAAAACATTTCAAGAGTTCTACTAGTGCTGTCAGAGCCCAGAAACTTTTGCGCCATAGCTGCACTAACACTAGACTCTCGAACTTGTAGAATAACTCTCGAACATTAGAATAGGGGCCTCACTGCACTATACTCTTGAACTTGTAGAATGAATGGGTCTCGCTCCACTACACTATACTGAGTCTCTCAAAAATTCAAGGGTTCTGCCTCGCTCCACTTCCACTAGACAAACCTCTCGAATATGTGCCTAGTGCTGTCACAAATAGTGCTCCAGACCAGCACTCTCACCTCCTCTAGAGTTCCCAAGCCTGTAGCGCATGTTTCCTCTAGGGTCCTCCATTCTGGTCTTGAATAGCTGCTGGAATTCGTGAGTCTACCGCAAGTCTAGTCAAGTCTGCGTGGACAAATCAGGCTGGCCATGTGGCGTTGTGGAATGGGACAAACCAGACTGGAGTCTCGAGTGTCCTTCTAGAGTAGCAACCTCTAGTGTAAATGGAGCGAGGCCGACTTTTTTCATGTTTTCAAGAGTCTAAGAATGCTTCACGGACTCTAGATATTTTTCTAGAGTCAAGTGTAGTGGAGCGAAACCCAATGACTCTCGGCAGTGCCTCAATAGCTGTTACATGCCCAGTTGGGCGATGTACTTATAAACCGAGGATCTGCAATGTGATAAAAAGGACTGAATGGACAATGCAGTGCAAGTGTAATCTCAACAAGCAATGTGCATTCCGATACATACATACAAAAATGGTGCTTTATAGCGCAGGGAAGACTTTAGATACAAGTCCTGACCTGACCAGGACTGACCTCTATCACATAGTACAAGATAGCGAAGCAGAATGCTAGAATACTAAGGACTAGCCCACTCAATGTTTCAATGCAGACCAAACATACATCATGCTCATCACAAGGTGTGATGAGGCCTGGCGCTATACACAGGAAAGAGGCGCCAGGTCCAACACAGACGAAGAGGAGGGGATCAGGCGAAGAAGAGGAAGGGGGAGATGTGAAAGTCGTCAACACCAAGTCTCGTTACAAGTCCCAAATAATCCCTCTTCAAAATGTCTGAAGTCCCAAGTCGAGTCTGGATCCAATGTCACCAAGCTCTCTCTCTCTCTCTCTCTCTCTCTCTCTCTCTCTCTCTCTCTCTCTCTCTCMGTAGTCTGCTGA